ACTAAAAAAGGTAATTTTTGAAATGTTAAAAATCACATTAATCTATAACTAACAATATTATTTGTTACATTAAAAACCCAAAAATGTAAAGGTGCAACACCAATCTTTATTAAAATAATAAAAAACTGAAAGACACCACCAGAAAAAACTAAAAATATTAAACCTAATCTTTCTTGAATAACAAAGTAATTAAAAATTCTTCTATATCTCTTATTACTTTTATTTAATAAAATAAAAATAATAGTCATCAACAAAAAAATACTTCATCAAACAATTAGGTTATTAACTAATAAACCTAAAAAAGTTAAAAAAAAAGTAAAACTTATTAAAATCATAATCAAAAATGAGTAGGTATAAACCTGCAACAAGTTTAGAAGACTCGTGTAAACCCATTAGTTGACGTATATCTTTTGCGCTTAAAACAAATGCACTTCTTATGCTATATCAACTGAAATGTGGTACAACCATCGCCAAATTAAAAGTTTGGCACTTTAATCTTAAGTTAACATTTCTAAATTATTACTACTCATTTAAATATAAATAAATTAAACGAGAAAAAATATAACTTTGAATAAAAAATACAAAACACTCTATTATAATAGCAAAAATAGACAATCAAACATAACAATCACCTAATGATAACTCAAAGGCTGTATATAAAGACATTCTAATTAAATGACCTACCATAATATTTACTGTTAAACGAACAGTTAAAGCTAAAGGACGAGAGAATTCACTTACAATCTCAACCATTAACATTCTAAAAGTCTTTAAGAATCTATCACCATCTTTTCTTATATAAATAGAAAATTTCTCTCTAGAAATGAAAGTTAATAAAGTTCTTATTCAAGCCACAGCAGCATAAACAAAAGTAAATTCAACTATACCACAAGGACAAAAAGAATAAGTAAAATAACCACCAAAACAACAAGTTAATAAAACAATAAAAGTGAAAACAGAAATAACTGATCTTAAAGGTAATCTTCTAGAATAACTAAAAACACCTACTAAACTACCTAAAAATTTCTTAGCTAAAGTATTTAACATACCTTCTTTGAAATAAAATAAATATTGTAAAACAAAAATAAACATAAAAATATCTAAAAAATAAACTTGATTAATAATAAAATAAAACAGCATAATAACCTAATAAAATTAAAGAAATAGGTAATAATTTAAATCAAAATAAACTTATCATCAAATCATAACGATAACGAGGGAAAGATCTACGAATAAAAATTAATAAAGAAAAAACAAAAAAACTCATAAAAATAGAAAAATTAAAAAACATAACAGAAGATAAAACCCTAAAAAAAATTAAACTACCATATTCACTTAAAAATAAAAGAACAAAAGCTACACTAGCAAACTCAACATTATAACCACTAACTAACTCACTCTCTCCCTCAGAAAAATCAAAAGGAGCACGATTTAACTCAGCAATAATTATAATTAAAAAAGGAATATAAACAATTAATAAACTTAAATTAAACTTAGGTACAAAATTAAATACATTATTATGAATAATAATACATAAAACATATAAAGAAAAAGCAATTTCATAAGAAATACTTTGCCTTCTAGCACGAATAGCACCAATCATACCATACTTAGATTTACTAACAGTACCTCTAATTAAAGTAGTATAAACAGCAAAACCAATTAAACATAAGAAAAACAAAACAGAAAATTCAAATCTTAAAAAATCAAAAAAATAGGGAATAACAAATCACTCCAAATACATAACTACAAAAGAAACACCTGGAACCAATAAAAAAGAAACTTCAGAAGAATTTAAAGGTGTTATCTGTTCTTTTTTCAACAATTTAACACCATCCAATAAAGCCTGAGCTAAACCTATAAAAGTAACCTTAGTAGGACCTAAACGATTTTGACTACTACCAAATAAATGACGCTCATATAAAGTAATAAAAGCAATTCTTTGGACAATACAAATTATCATCAAAACAACTATTAAAAAAACTAAAATCAACAAGAGTAAACAACTTTAGATTTACAATCTAATATTTTTAAATTAAACTAAACTCTTAAAATTAAGAGTGAAACCTTTTGATTAACAGTCAACAATTCTTTACTTAAACTAACTCTTAAAAACTACGAGAAAAACTCAAAAAATGTTTTCAAAACATTTCCATTTATAGTTCTATTACTAGATTAAGGTTCCCCTAAATCTACTTTACTACAACTTACTCCCCTTTGGGCAATTGATGGATGATTTGTACCGCTTCTAGATACTCTTCAAAAATACATAAAGAATTTTTTACTGTCTTTTACAATTTCAAACAAAGTACTACCAATGTTATCCAAATTATAAAATATTGTAGGACAAATGTTACTTTTATCATAAACCAGGTATATATCTATTTTAATAAATTAAAAATTTATAATTATAATCCTTAAGAATAAAATAAACGATCATACATGAGTCTAAAGATTAAGTAGTTAATGAGGGTTCTCAATTATTACTCATCCTCCAAAGATAATTTAGAAAGCCTGCCAATATCCTTACAGTTTAAATACAACTTTACTCCTGCTCTTTTAATTTTTGTCTAATTAGGTACTAATCTAATTCGTTCACCAAAATTTAAAATTATAAAAACTTATTTAAAAAGATTCTAATTTTACCTAAAACCTTTCAAGTAGTATTATACGTTTTATAATTGAAATCAATTAAAGTACAAGCTTCAACAAGTCTAGCCGATTATTCTGGAACAAGTGTTATACAAGCGATTAATTGCCGAGGTAAATTTTTATTGCCTACTTAATAAATCAAAATTAGATAATATCATTTTAAATCATTTTAAATCATGATCAAATTTTAATTCCATAAAAGAATACTTCATAAGATAAAAAACCTTTTCTGCGAAAAAGAAAGATACTTACTTATACTATTATCTCAAATAAATAATACAGAATAAAAATTTTTGATTTTGAAGATCAATAGTTTAAACTTAACTTATATCTGTCTACTAAAAAATACAATAATCATTACCATAAAACTTCATATTACCAACCATAACAATTATACCTAAAATACTAGAAACTACAGAAAAACACATAAAATAAAAAAACATTATCTCAGTTAACTGAGTAGAAAAACTCAAAAACAATCTTAACATCATAAATTCCAAAGAAATCAAAATAAAAATTAAACGTTGTCATTTAAATAACAACATAAATAATCTAACAAATAAAAAAATAATTATTAAACTTTACGTAAAGCTCCTGAAAAATTTAAAAAATAACTTCTAAAATTTATAAAAAATAATAGAACTCCAAGAATATAAACAAATATCAATCAATAAACACTATAATAAAAACCCCTTAAATTTAAATAATCTCCTTTAAAAATAAATAAAGGAAACATACACAAAGATAAAAAGAAACAAACAAAAACAAAATAACTTTTTGTTACATTTACTTTTGAAAGTCTAGAAAAATAAACTAAAATAACAAAAATACCCCTTAAAAATAACAAACAAACAAAATAAGAAAATCAAATATGTAAACTCATTGATATTAAAGGCATTCTAAATAATAAAGAAAAAATTAAAAAGAAACTTCTCTTTATAGGATCAATATTAACATAACTAATAATACCCCTAATAACAGACAAAACAAAGAAAATTTTTAATATTAAATCTTAAAAACACTAAAAATAAGTGTATTAGTTAAAAATCTAAAAGAATTTTAAACCTATTCATTGTAAGTGAATTATTCTAATTAAACTAAAAATTCATTAAATTAAATCAGTAACCAATCTTAACGTCCCAAACGTTATATTTTAGCTTAAACTATTTACTGATTAATAATATATCATTTATTATAAATGATATATTATAATATATACTATATATTTGTTTAGTAATATTAATACTATATATTTGTTTGTATATATTATAATATTAACAAATACCTCCACCTTTCCCCCCCCCATAAGGGGGGAAGGGACCGGAGGTCATTTTATTTGTTAATATTATAATATATACTTATATATAGTATATATTACTATATATAGTATATATTATAATAACTTCTAACTTCGTATATATATATATATATATATATATATATTATATATATATATATATATATATATATATTATATTATATTATATTATATTATTTTTCATTTAACCATACACCACTTTATATTGTGTTAATCTTTGAATATTCAAATAATCCGATCATTTTACATAATCTATCAATATAATTATAATATTGATTGAACGACTATAACGCAATCATCTACTACCACCACTCTCTCTCTCTCTCTCCCTCTCATTCATTCTCTCTTTCTCTTTTCCTTACTCGTCATGCATACTGTATTCAGATTAAGGAGACAGAAATGAGAAAAAAAATTTTTTTTTTGCTCACAACTGCTTACTCCATCTGGCATCTCATTAGAATCTTAATCATATGTTATGAATCAACTATAATTATATAGTTTGTATATAATAATTAAGTTTTTTTCCACATCTATTACAATAAGAGTTCATATTCACTCTCTCTCTCTCTCTCTCTCTCTCTCTCTCTCTCTCTCTCTTTAATCTTTAACTTTTCTTATTTAGTCTCTTTCATAATATGTTGCCGTCACTCGTTGGTCTTTAATACGTAATAAGTCTCTCATTACTTACTTAGCGCTATACTTTCTTTTATATTTATTTATAACTAACTCTTTGTATTTAGCAGATGGTTTTTGATCTTTCAATACAATCAATAAAGAGACAATGAGAGAGAGAGAGAGAGAGAGAGAGAGAGAGAGAGAGAAAGAGTATGAGAGACTTCTTTTATTAATTTGTTTTTTTTCTTTTTTCACAAAGACACCTGTTACTCTAAATCGTATATACAATAGAGAAACATAAACATTTTTAATTTTCATTTCCACTCTAACATCTTGCTTTCATTCTGTCTTTTTATTTCTTAAAAGTTATTTGGAATTTTGAACAAAAAAGATATTTTGGTTATTGCGATTTGTGTTAATTCACCTGCAATACTGCATGGCTTCTGGAAGATGTTTTGTTGGCTTCAGTGGCCTCTTGTGTGCGTCTAAGGTTGCCCTCTTGTAATAGATTCATTATCTGAATTTGCTCATAACGTATTTCGTTAACATATACATCTATTCATCTATCTTACCGTACTCAATTTCATTACACGAACTGATGATAATCCAATAACTTGTACATTACCCTGCTCATCTTCCATCATTTCCAATGTGCCACTATTGGGATTAAGCAAATCTCTGATGACCTCATTATACAACTCCTTTAAGATATTATTATTATTATTTTTATAGAATCTGCTCCATCCTACCAGGTAGGACATTTGAACAGAAAACTCATCCATATCTATATTTTCGAACAACGCTTGAGTCAACAACGTCATCAATCCAGGTATTTCTTTTGTTCCTAGCATCGTATACGTCTTACCAGATCCTATCAATATCTTCTATTAGTTCTCATTCATACTATGACGTCAATTTATGTTATTGAATCATTGCTTCATTCAATTCATTTTATTTTTGTCATTTCATCTTCTTTTTGCTAAAACAACGATAGAACTGAGCAACCTGTAGCTCCGTATGCAAAAACAGTTGCGTTAATTCCCTTAACGACAGCTTCAATAATTGGTCCTGTTGTTGATGTATGAACATCTTCCTACAATATATATGTTAGATATTTAATTAATTAATGAAATTGCTTACTTGAGTAGCAGAAGGACCGAATGTATAATCAAATGTAAATTGCCTTTCGTGTTGTCTGTTTTGTCTTAACACATTCTTCTCATACTTTTCTGGATCAACTAATAGTAATCTCTATAATATAATTATTTAAAATATATTATACAGATAGTCTCTTGACCTTTGAATCTAATTGAAATACGCATTGAAAGTATTTTTTTTGTTTTTCCGAGTTGTTAAGCGGTCGAACTCGTACAGCAACCTTAAATCATTCATATATTCATCTGGTCCTATATAATAACAATGATACATATGTATATGTACATATTGAAGACACACGATTCCTTTTTTTAAAGTCAACCTGTCATTAAGAAAGAATTGTATTCAAACACTCTCATTGCCTTTCACTTCTCTTGCATATGTGTCAAATCATTTCAAAAACTATTCAATCCCTCATTCCCTCTTTCTTTACGAATAGCTTTGAACTCTGTAGAGAATGGCTTTAACGTCACACACACATACTGTTATGCACTTCCATATAGTGCTTCTATATAGAATGAAGCCAAGCTTCTGCGTGCGTACAAATAAAAAGAAGGAAATTTTTTTGTTCTCCCATCCAATGAACTCTACTGAGACAACAACAAAAAAAAAATTTTTTTTCGGCACACATCACAGCATGAAATGAAAAATTTCATTCAAAACTGCTTCCGGTCACTTCAATTGGCTATGTAAGAAGCGGAAACTCCAAAGAAATCAAGTAGTTGTGGACAGGCTAGTGCAATGTATGAAATATTCTGTGACTAATAAATTATATAAATAGATATATCTATTCTACAAGTTTACATGAAGTACATGAGATAAAGATGAATTGAGATAGAGAGAGAAAGAAGAATGAGTTTCACTGTTTTTTGGAGAAATGCCAACAACATAGCTTTTTTGGATAATTCTAAGATATTGATTGATTTCAATACCAATATCTCATGGTTCATAGTCATAGAAGCAGAAAAAATAATCAATTACGTACGCAATATTTTGATGTGAAAAATGTCCAAAACAATATATTTGAATCAATCTAATTAATCATATCATATAGTGTATTGTATTACATGAATTATTATTTATCCAGTTGAGCTTTTAATTAAATGTATGTAAACTTACTATCAAGTTTGAAGAAGTTCCTGTCATTTATTGAGAACGGAATAGAAATGAGAAATGAGCTAGTAAACACAAGCTTTACACGTTGGAAGGAAATATAATTTCGCATGAAGCATAGAAAACTCTTTCTTTCTTTTCCATACCTTTTCTCTCTCTTAGTTTTACATTTCTCCATTTTCTTGTTCAATTGTCTGCTTCTCTCTTTCTATCTTTCATATTGAGAATCTCCGTCTCTGTCTTTAATATAAAGAAAAGAGTATATGTCTGGTGTGCCTTGTATTTTTGAAGTCTGTCTATAACATGTTTCGTTGGTTAAAATGCCCAGGTGGTCGGCAACAGCCTTATTGGCTTGTTCAAAATCTTTTTTAAACTTGACAGACTGCGTAGGTAATAACTAGTTGAATAGTATAGCTGCTAGGTAACGTTGAGAGTCCGAGAACAAGACATGAACATATATATTATATATATTATATATGTATGGGTAGAGATAAGCTTCTAATTTTAATGAAGTGTTTCATAATAAGATCTTGCAACTGAATGTAATCAAGAAGGGAAATATCTCTTGGAAAAAGAGCGAAGGGGAGTAAGAGGTAGAGAACTAAACGAGGGTAACATGAATTTGTAGATCTGGGCATGTGTAACATAAATGAAAAGAAATTTTTATTTTATATCAAACACATATTTAGTCGTAGTTATAATATATAGATATAGTTATATAAATTGAATATAAGATGTAATTGAAGCTATTCAAAGATATTATCTTTGTTCTCTTGAGTGAGTTTTAATGATGATGATGATAGCCTCATGAAATATAATGATACTATTTAATTGTATAATTTATTTATATAAATGATATAACACTAATGATCTTGAGAAATTCATTTAAGCATCAAAAGTTGAGTTAGTATTTTGTTATCTTCGTTCTATATTTGATATACAGTAGATTCTATCTATTTTCATTATTTTTTGTTATTCAAAAGGACTTGATGAGAGAATAATACAATATATATATATATATATATTTATATATATTGTATTATTATTTATTTAAAAAGTATTAAATAATATGGATTAGTAACAAACCAACTGTTTGAGGCAAAAGGTGTGAGCAGATGGCTTCAACAGCTGGTAGTTCATATATTGTAATATATAGTTTATCTAAATTGATTATAAAGAGGGGGAGAGTAATGAAGTCATAAAGAAGTAAAAAGTTGAGTAAATAATATAAATATGCTTGTGATGCATTAAGAATTGATGAGAAGCTCACGCTAGATCTATCTGAAACCCTCTAACTATCTCTTTTTCCTTACTTTGCCATCTTAGTGAGAATGCAATATGTGGGCTTAAAGCAGCTGACGAATTGTTTTCAGTTTTTTTTTTCAAAACTAATTCTTCTTCTTTCTTTTTACATTTCTTTGCTTAAGCCCTATACTAAGTTATTGAAACATAACGAAACCAAATGAAAGAAAAAAAAAGAAAACAAAATTTCGATTATTTTGCTGAATTAAATACTCAAAGATGTTGAAATTAACTTCATACTCATCATCATCAACATTGGGTTTCATAACATGTCCCTGACCATAGTAATAGTTTCTAATCTTTCCATGAAAAATTTTTTTTCAACGCATCTTTAATACAATCATCAGTCCTACCGTCATAACACAATGCAACACGTTCTTTCTCGATAGATCTAGCATGAGTTTTTTTTTTTTTGACCAACAATGTAACCGTTTTTCATTCTTCATCTTTTTTTTTCATCACCACGTTTTTCATTCTTAACCGTTAATCTTGGCTCTTCCCAAAATTAAAATTTTGATCATTCTTGAAAAAAAAATTATTAATGACCTATAGAGTGAAAGTTTAACAGTGAAAAAACATTATAACACTCATTAGAATTTTTATAACTAAAAAAAATAATATTATTCGATGTAATGAAGAGTGAAGGCGGCCATATTTGAATCCTGCGTAGCATTATCCGTTGCGTGCGCTATCTCATTGTTTTCTGAAAAAGAAATAAATTATGACTAAAGAGTACAAGTATTAAATAAAGAAAACATATAACGCTCATTAGGAGTATTATAATTGAATGAATTAATATTATTTATATTAGATGTTATAAAGAGTGAAAGCGGCAAATTTGGATCATGCGTTGCGTAATCGGTTGCGTCCTACTGATTTAATCTCCAATAAAAGCGGCAGAAATTAAAAAATTTTTTTATTGATAATCAAATGAATCAACTGAGATGTTAGTTGGACGAATGAAACGCAACAAGCAGCAACATCATCATATGATTCTGTTCATTCGTTTATTGAATAATTAGTATATGTATATATATATGTATATATATATCTTCTATCATTTGAATCTTCTAGTTTGAATAAGCCATAGTCATGAGCATACCTTTTCTTTCATTCTATTTTCAATATTACCTGACTAAAACAATTAAAACTAGTGAAACATATTATAACTACTCTATTAATTCAAACTATAATAATGAGCAATCATTATCATCATCATCATCATTAGATCATGGTTGGTTTTTTTTAAATTTAAATTTATAAATTATATTATATATATATATATATATATATATATAATATAAGAATATTATATAGCAACAAAGAATATTCTTTGTTATTTTGCACTTTTCGTACATTACGTTAACACATAGATAAATGAACACGCACATACATACTCATACAACCAGTCACCTACATCTGTTAATTAGCAGAAACTCTATGATGCTTTATATTATTATTAAAATATATATTGCTTCGCTGCCCTTGTTGCCTTTTCTCTTTTAGTTTCCTTTCGATAACCTTCTCCATCAACCATCCTCCTTCTTTCACCACCCTCCCTTCTAACTCCCTCAATATTCATATCTTCTTTTCTTTTCACTGTATCATCATCTTATACATCTATCATACGGATATTCTCATCTTTACATCATTTCATCTAACTTGTTATTCACTTACAAAATAAAAGCAATGCTGATGAAGAAAGATGTCAACTGACCAATCGAGTTGTGTGAAGATGAGTATCGATAGGAATATCGCTTTACTCACAACATTTTTAGATGAAATAGTAGATCTTCTACATCTTCTATATACTACAATATAAGATAATATGAATATAGCAATGCTGTCAAGTATAATGATGTTGAACTAGCAGAAGCAGATAACGAAGATATAACGTTGTTCCCGTTATTTTGAGTTTATGTGAATTATATTTTATTTTTTTAATCTCTATCTCTTTCTATATCATACTATAGCTTGTCTCTAAATCTCTCTCTCTCTCTCTCTCTCCTTTTTTTTTCTCAAAAAATAGAAATAACGGAGAAATTATACTGAGCGAGCTCCAGAAATGTTTTTCAAAGGCTTCCCAGTCCCCAATCGGATGCTCATCGTTGTGTTCAAAACAACCTAGTTTCGATTTGGCTGTCTTGAGCATTACAATTCTTCTTCTTATTCTCCGCTTTCTTTGTTCCTATATTTTGGTTACTAAAAATATATAGTACATGATATATATTTTGTTGTGAATATTGGCTCTTATTTGGAGTAGCTTTCGTTACTCCTTCCCTTTTTCAGTCCTCTTCCTCCATTTTTTTCTTTCTAACTCTCCCTTCTCCCTCTATATCACTCTTTTTCTCTTTTTCTATCGACAAAACGACTCTACATCAAAATTTCTAAGAACATTTTCATCGGAATTGAACGACAAATCAGCTTTCAAGATCTTGCTAATGTTGCCATTTTGGAATAATGCAATTCCCTCTCCGCATTTTACGTTTCTTTTTCATCTGTTTGTCTCATTTCACATTTTTTTTCACATCTCTTCATCTCTGCCCGTTCTGAATTTGATTCTTCGAGTGAGCTACGATAGCTTTCTACAAGCTAGGGCCACTCCAAATTCAATATTTCGCGGTTTCGTCCCTCTTGACCAATACGAGAGGATCAATCATTGACGTTACAACCCAATTCTTCCCATTTTCATTCTCCACTTGCTTGTGCCACTAAGAGACAAATAAGATCCAAGCTGTCAAAATGAAACTGAGGAAATCCATTTGTCTTGCTTTGTTCAGTACTATCGCGTCTTTGTGGCCCGTCTTTTCAAGTCTTCTCCAAAGAAAAAAATTTTTCTTCTCTTCTTCTTTTTTTTTTTCGTTTCACCAGCCAGCTTCAATGTTGCATAAGAGAAGCTGAAATGTGAAAAGAACAAAAAAGTGATATGTTGTTAGAGAAGTTGTTCACCTGGCTATCGTTTTCTCTTTTTATCGTCCATTACAACATACACACTCACACACATATATATATATATATATAAGAAGAGAAAATTCATTACAGCCCTAACCGATCTCTTTCTTATTAAAACATATGCGTTCTGAGGAGTTTCGAGCTGTTGATACTCAATGGCAGACACAAAAAAAGAAGGAAAGAGATAGATAGATAGAGAAGAAGGTTGTAAGGTGCAACAACTGTTACTCATAAGAGACGAATTTCCATTATATACAGAAACTCTTTACAATAGCTATCTATCCAGATAATGATCGATTTTTCACTTTTATAAACTTCTATCTATCTATATATATAATTTTTTTGGAAAAAAATTAGTAACTTCCAATGAATTCTCTATTCTCATATCATGTGTGAAGAAAAAAATTATTTTATTCTCTTTTTTTGCGTATGTATTAGTTTTTTTTGTGTTCACATTTGAAATCTGTGTTGCAAAGCAGAAAGAGGTTTTACCTTATTTATTTATGAAATTTGTGAGTCTCCAATTAGGTTTTCTTTTATATTTGCTCATTATTCCATTGTTTTCGATAGAGCTTTGTTTTCTACGTCTTTCCCCTTCCCTTCCATCCTCCCCCTCTCTCCTCCTCCCTTCTACTACCCTCCTAACAAAATGAGTTTGTTATTGTTGTCGTATATCCAACTTATATTTCGAAAAAAAAAAAGAATAAGAGAAAAAGAAAGGAGAAATAGAGAAAACAAAACTTTTGAATTGAAATATGATGGAGGATGAAGTAAAGATA